TATGAATTTATGAATAGTGAATTTATTCATTGTTTATGCACATAGCGAATTTAAGTAATGACTCCTTATAAATATAACGTTTGTGTGCAGCAAATGACATACATGTCTCACCTGGGAAAATATCATTTCCCAATATTGTCCTGTTATGTAAGTCATTATGACACATGCACTCCTCTTATAAATCAGTTTAGCAAAATAATTAGGAGATAAGCTTTAGAGTTAAACAGAAATGGACATGAGTCCCAGGTCTGTCGCTGTCCAGGTGGGTGACAGGCAAGTCACAGGGTATCTCTCTAAGCTTGATTTTCCTTATCTGTGAAATGTAGATAACAACTACATCTGTGGAATGTAGATTAACAACTCAAAGAACCTAAGGTTCTTGGAACACTGCCAATACTTACTAGATCCTGAAAGTTACTTTTTGATAACCAGGACTAAATCAAAGCTCTAAAATTCTACACACTATTACATCCTATATAATTCTATTTGCCCAATAGGTAAATGTACTTTACCAAAACTGTTGAATCAATAAGAGCCTGCAAAAGATTTGATTTTTTTAAAGAATTGTTTCTTCTATTCATTTCTTTCCTCTTCTTAATGAAATGAATGTTGATAATTGATGTTTTCAAAAGAGAGATAAAAGTGAATACATAAAAGCAAATATACTTACTTATCTATGCCATAAACAAAGCATACAGCAATATTCTCCAAAATGACTACAATTAGCAGAGGCAGTGTAGCAGAATAATCATCAAACATTGTAACAAAGTAATTTCCAGAGCGTTGCACAAATATCAGGCCAATACAAAATGCCAGAAGACAACAGATAACTAGACAAAAGAAACAAATGAAAAAATGAGACTCTATGCAGAGCCAAGTCCTTTAAACTTTATTATAAATTATTATATTCAAACTTTTAAAACTTTTATAACATGTCCATCATATAAACAGGCAATACCTTTTCTGATACATGGTATATAATCTACTAGGAATTAGGTTACCTGGGTATAGTCCCAACATTCATACAAATTTATTCTAAGACAGTAATTCATCTCCCTGAATTCATTTACCAAGGTAAATTTACCAAGGTAAATAGGGCTGTAATGAGCTTGGTGATGTTATTACCTCTCAGTCCATATATGTGATTAGAGACAGTGACTATAAAAAATATTGGACAAATCCTCCAAAGGTCTTTTTCCCTTGAGATTACTCTGATGCTTCACATCAGTTAAAATACATATACTTTTCATATCAGTGTACTTGATTGATGTGAAAAGTATATGTATTTGATATGAATTTACGAATGGTGAATTTATTCATTGTTTATGCATATAGTGAATTTAAGTAATGACTCCATATAAATATAACGTTTGTGTGCAGCAAGTTATTCATTTACCAAGTACAATAATAAGTGAGACAAAATTTACAGAAAATTTTGAAAGTATAAATTTCCATACTCTATTCCTATAATTAATAGCAAAGTGACTTCTTCAGGCAGCAAATATTCATAGGTCATTTCTTCCTTTTATAATGTTCTGTAGTGTTGAAATATAGATGAAATTTTTGAATTAATAATGAGACTAATATGGCTTATAATATTATGAAATATACATATTATATCATTGATTGAAATATGGTTACTTTTCAAGCATAACTGAAAAAGTCTGACCACACCTAAAACCTCAACAACAATCCACATTTATATCTTTATCTTGCCTGAACAGATTAGTTTGGAAACAAATTATAATGGAGTTATGCAATCTGATCATCCAAATAACATCTAAGAAAAATAATCTAAAAAGAGTTTCCCCAGTAATAGCTAAGAAACAGATGCATAAATTTCTGACCAGCTACTACTTAGAGAAGATTTGAAATTCATATAATATTCCCATGTTTTTGTTAGATTCTTTGTTTTTTTGTGCTCATTAGCAGAGAAACCTCCAAAGGTAAAAGATGACTGCATTCCATTCCTCAACCACATTTCGGCAGAGGTGAGTAAACTTGAAAGAAGTAGAGTAGTAATGGCAGCTAAGGAAAAAAGACATCCATGGATTCAATCATATGAATGTTCCCTAACAATTTCAGCAAGTATGTGTTACATGAAGAAATTACCTCCATCTCTTAAGTACTATACTGGTGCTGTGAGTTACATCTTACAGAAATGAATATCATATGTAAACATATAATGTAGAATAAGAAAAGTAACATTTACTTGGATTCTACTGCATATTAAATTTAAATGCTTATCACAGTATAAAATAATATTGCATTATCTCATTTAATTTTTATAACATCCCAATTGAACAATGTATTGCTTTCTTTACAGATTAGAGAAATGTTCCTGAAGAACGTTAAGTAATATGCTTAAAGTCTAAGCTGGAAGTAGCAGAGTCTGGATTTGCACTCAAATCTGTCTTTCTCAACAGCCTGTGTCACTTTCACTATCTCCTAATTACACCACAGTATGAGGCAAATATAAAAAAAAGCACATTATAAGTGGTACAGACAGTAAGAGTTTTGCTGGAGATGTGAGGGAAAAGATAATGAGTAATTCATTTGCCTAAATCTTACTGCATAAAAGAGAAGAAAACACACCTACCAAAGAAAATGAGGTAATATTTCATTGAGGTCAAATATGACTACTATTTGAAGTATCAGTATGATCCCAAAACACAAGAAGTGGGAAAGAGGGTACATTCCCTTTTGCTCTTTCCAAATACATCTTCTAGAAGGAGTTAGAAAATACTACTTTATGTGATTTTTCCTTTACATTGTTACTTTTTCCTTAACCTGTAAGCCCTTTACTACAGGAGAGGACAGTTTGGATATGGTGAGCAAGGATAAGAATACAAAAATGACTTTAGCTTGCATTTCAGGCAGGATATGGATTTTCATATTAAGAAGTAGAAATCACTTTCTTGAATAATATAAAGCAGTTCCTCATTTCTGTTCAGCTGAATTGTGGATATATAGCTATCAACATTAACAAACTGCTGAAATTAAATTTTTTTATACACACACATACATGCACATGCACAAACACATACAGACATACTTATCAGAGCAGCAAGTGATAAAGGTATATATTTGAGAGTTATTTACACGTAAATTCTTAGTTAATTTTTATGGCTAAGAAATAGCCTTTGGGAGATGCACACCATTGCCCAGCATTCAAGGTTATCCATAAAATTTTTATCCAATCTTATTTTACATCACTTACTAGTACTGTTTCTGTACTCTCGTATGGTTAGCTTTCTTACTGTTGCCTTTATCTCCATTTATGTATGTTTACTAAAGTTATCCTCTGACCCTTGAGAAGACCCTTCCTCTTTCCAATTCAACTTCCTTCTCTTTCTCTGACAGCTCCATCATATATTTAGAAGACTTAGAATCTTTTGAATTCTTACATGTAAAATCCATTATGCTCTCTATCAGTATTTTACATGCTATAAGTCTTATCTATGCAATCTGATTTTAATTTTAGTGTTATTATTTTTGGAGATTTTTAAATATATATTTGTATCTCTCTTATAATTTTTTATATCTTTTATATCCCTTAAGTGAGAGTGTGATGCATTAAACTGGTACTTTAAGAATCACTTGTAAATTGGACTTATTAACTACCATTCATATTGATAAATTATTTTCTTCTCTACTTGGAGACATTAACTACTAGTAAATCACTGTTGCTGCTGTATATGAGAACTGG